ACACACACACAACACAACACACACACACACACACACTGAAGATGAGGGACCCACACACAACACACACACACACACACACACACAACACACACACACACACACTGAAAATGAGGGACCCACACACAACACACACTGAAGATGAGGGACCCACACACAACACACACACACACACACACACTGAAGATGAGGGACCCACACACAACACACACACACACACACACACTGAAGACGAGTGACACACACACTCTGCTCTAATGAGAAGCGCTTCTGGAACAAGAACACATGTGGGCGGGGCTTGATTGTGTCTGTGGGGAACTGATTGGATGGTTGTGGTTTGCTATTGGCTGATCTCATGTGAGTGACAGGTTAAAGCCCCGCCCTCGTCATCAGAGAAGAGAAGAGATGCTGCTGTTATTCTGATTCAAGATTATCAACACAATAATGATGTGAACCGATAAATCATTTACAATAAACACTGCAATATTCCATAAAGTCTCCATGAAATCTAAATTGACACTTCTTGTTTTTTTAAGTAGTCACAGTCTAGAACCATGAACCATATCAGAGACGGACGACTCCATCACAGTAACTTTACTCAACATCATGACTCAACATCTGATATCATGTCAGATTCAGAGAAAACTGCTGCGCGTCAGCTCTATTTCTACAGCTTCATACAGTCCAGAGCGCCTCAAAGCAGCTTCACTGTAACTAACAGCAGAATAACAGAGTCAGTGATGCACACTTCATTAAATATGAGATCACATTCAGATTCAGCTCTACAGAAGATGATCGAGCTTCATTCTCATCCAATAGCAGTCGGTGCAGTCTGACCAACAATATTACTGAATATTAAAGTCCCCCTGTGTTGAAAATGAAGCGTTTAATGTTGTTTATGTGTCTATGTGGTGTTTAATACGCTATAAGACACACCATGTGTAAGTTCATAAGTCGACAGCATTGCTGAGTATAGCGGTGGGAGGAAAAAAGAGAATTGAGAATTCCAGAATCGATTCTGAGCTTAGTTTTTAACCAGATGTGCGATGACGTTGAGTTTCCTTTAGAAACACCCGTATTCTGCTTGCTTCCAATTCCTCACACACATACACCACTCAAACCTTCCGTAAAATAATCTTTCATAAAGTTCGGAAAGGTTGAAGCGAATTACAAGCACATTCACAGGCTTCATTGCACAGGATACGCTGTGAGAGACGCGCGCTTTCTGTGATGTTACACTTGAAGTGTGCTGTCTCGCCCGTCGGTATTTTCCTTACAAATGCTCTACGAAGTCATCATTTATGTGGTTTGGAATGCAGTGGACTTATTTATTTAAAATATGAACCTCACTAACAGAAGGCTGCTTTCAATTTCGAATGCTGACGCGCGCTTTGTTTGTGAGACTGCTCGCGCTGCCGCGACTCCGTGTAGTGGTTTAATGTACTTGGGCAAAATTAACGTAAACACAGCCAGTTATGTCTTAAGGGATTAAACGGACAGGACACACCGCATTACTTCTTTTATTTCAAAAGAGATGCGTGCGTGAATGCAGCTTAATAGATCTCCCGCAGTCTATGATGTCATAGTAAAAAACAACAGTAAAGATGAAGAAAAATCACTCACAGTTCTTGAATGGAAAACGTTCAGATAATCTATAGGCTACTGAAAGCACTTTTTGTTTGTTGTTTGTTATATTTTTCTATGCTCTTTATTATTTGTTATATTAGTTCTATTAGTTTAAAATTCTTAACATAGGCTACAACTGTTTTAATAAAAACAAATTAATTTGTAATTATTTTTTAAAAAGTACTTAATTACTTATGTAAACTAATGAATTAATAAGGGGGGGAAGGTAGATAAAGAATCGTTCTGGAATCGGATCGTGAGGTGACCAAAGATTCGCACCCCTAGAATTGCCTCCTTAAAACTGCAGTGAACCAAAGACAGTCTCAAACACACGGTTTGAAATCGCTGGTGTTTCTGACGTCACAAACGACCTTGTAACCAATCAGATCAACGTGTGATCGTCAACCAGTGGATCTCTGAGCTGAGGGAGTGAGTGGAGGCGGGGCTCATCTGCATATTCATAGAACCGCGCATATTAAATGAGGCAAGGGTGTCGAGTTACATTCAAGATAAGGCATGAAGACATTTTCTTTTTACGAAAAAACATGTAAATATGACATTATGGTGATGAAAGCTGAGTTTGAAGGGATAGAGTGATCGACACAGGGGGACTTTAAACAGCGGCGAGGAACACGAACTCCACCAGTGGCAGAGACGGAAGAACTGGTATTGAAGGGTTGGGATGAGAGTGCAGATTGTGGTTGTGTTGGAGAGGCATTAGATGTGTGTTTGCTGCTGTTGATGGACTGATGCTTCAGCTTTCAGGATGATCCCGTATCCTCTGGAGAAAGGACACTTGTTTTACCCGTATCCGGTGTGCACCGAGACCGCGGACCGGGAACTGCTGCCCAGTAAGAGCTTCTCCTGTGTGTGCACACAAACACAAACACTTTATTTTACTTATCTAGTTTCCTCATAATATTATCATGTAAATGAACACACACTACATTATGAAAACTGGTAAAAGTCAAGTTTCTCTCAAAAAATAAATGGTGAAATTCCAGTAATTCTAAAGGATGTTAATGTCAGAAACAGGGAAGCGTCATGTTTGGGTTTATTCCGGAAGCGTTCGCAGATTCAGTCTCGCAGGAGGAACACACACTGATTCAGTCTCGCAGGAGGAACACACACTGATTCAGTCTCGCAGGAGGAACACACACTGATTCAGTCTCGCAGGAGGAACACACACTGATTCAGTCTCGCAGGAGGAACACACACTGATTCAGTCTCGCAGGAGGAACACACACAGATTCAGTCTCGCAGGAGGAACACACACTGATTCAGTCTCGCAGGAGGAACACACACTGATTCAGTCTCGCAGGAGGAACACACACTGATTCAGTCTCGCAGGAGGAACACACACTGATTCAGTCTCGCAGGAGGAACACACACAGATTCAGTCTCGCAGGAGGAACCCACACTGATTCAGTCTCGCAGGAAGAACACACACTGATTCAGTCGCGCAGGAGGAACACACACTGATTCAGTCTCGCAGGAGGAACACACACTGATTCAGTCTCGCAGGAGGAACACACACTGATTCAGTCTCGCAGGAGGAACACACACTGATTCAGTCTCGCAGGAGGAACACACACTGATTCAGTCTCACAGGAGGAACACACACTGATTCAGTCTCGCAGGAGGAACACACACTGATTCAGTCTCGCAGGAGGAACACACACTGATTCAGTCTCGCAGGAGGAACACACACAGATTCAGTCTCGCAGGAGGAACACACACAGATTCAGTCTCGCAGGAGGAACACACACTGATTCAGTCGCGCAGGAGGAACACACACTGATTCAGTCTCGCAGGAGGAACACACACAGATTCAGTCTCGCTGGAGGAACACACACAGATTCAGTCTCGCAGGAGGAACACACACAGATTCAGTCTCGCAGGAGGAACACACACTGATTCAGTCTCGCAGGAGGAACACACACTGATTCAGTCTCGCAGGAGGAACACACACTGATTCAGTCGCGCAGGAGGAACACACACTGATTCAGTCTCGCAGGAGGAACACACACTGATTCAGTCTCGCAGGAGGAACACACACTGATTCAGTCTCGCAGGAGGAACACACACTGATTCAGTCGCGCAGGAGGAACACACACTGATTCAGTCTCGCAGGAGGAACACACACTGATTCAGTCTCGCAGGAGGAACACACACTGATTCAGTCTCGCAGGAGGAACACACACTGATTCAGTCTCGCAGGAGGAACACACACTGATTCAGTCTCGCAGGAGGAACACACACTGATTCAGTCTCGCAGGAGGAACACACACTGATTCAGTCTCGCAGGAGGAACACACACAGATTCAGTCTCGCAGGAGGAACACACACTGATTCAGTCTCGCAGGAGGAACACACACTGATTCAGTCTCGCAGGAGGAACACACACTGATTCAGTCTCGCAGGAGGAACACACACTGATTCAGTCTCGCAGGAGGAACACACACTGATTCAGTCTCGCAGGAGGAACACACACAGATTCAGTCTCGCAGGAGGAACCCACACTGATTCAGTCTCGCAGGAAGAACACACACTGATTCAGTCGCGCAGGAGGAACACACACTGATTCAGTCTCGCAGGAGGAACACACACTGATTCAGTCTCGCAGGAGGAACACACACTGATTCAGTCTCGCAGGAGGAACACACACTGATTCAGTCTCGCAGGAGGAACACACACTGATTCAGTCTCGCAGGAGGAACACACACTGATTCAGTCTCGCAGGAGGAACACACACTGATTCAGTCTCGCAGGAGGAACACACACTGATTCAGTCTCGCAGGAGGAACACACACAGATTCAGTCTCGCAGGAGGAACACACACAGATTCAGTCTCGCAGGAGGAACACACACTGATTCAGTCGCGCAGGAGGAACACACACTGATTCAGTCTCGCAGGAGGAACACACACAGATTCAGTCTCGCTGGAGGAACACACACAGATTCAGTCTCGCAGGAGGAACACACACAGATTCAGTCTCGCAGGAGGAACACACACTGATTCAGTCTCGCAGGAGGAACACACACTGATTCAGTCTCGCAGGAGGAACACACACTGATTCAGTCGCGCAGGAGGAACACACACTGATTCAGTCTCGCAGGAGGAACACACACTGATTCAGTCTCGCAGGAGGAACACACACTGATTCAGTCTCGCAGGAGGAACACACACTGATTCAGTCTCACAGGAGGAACACACACTGATTCAGTCTCGCAGGAGGAACACACACTGATTCAGTCTCGCAGGAGGAACACACACTGATTCAGTCTCGCAGGAGGAACACACACTGATTCAGTCTCGCAGGAGGAACACACACTGATTCAGTCTCGCAGGAGGAACACACACAGATTCAGTCTCGCAGGAGGAACCCACACTGATTCAGTCTCGCAGGAAGAACACACACTGATTCAGTCGCGCAGGAGGAACACACACTGATTCAGTCTCACAGGAGGAACACACACTGATTCAGTCTCGCAGGAGGAACACACACTGATTCAGTCTCGCAGGAGGAACACACACTGATTCAGTCTCGCAGGAGGAACACACACTGATTCAGTCTCACAGGAGGAACACACACTGATTCAGTCTCGCAGGAGGAACACACACTGATTCAGTCTCGCAGGAGGAACACACACTGATTCAGTCTCGCAGGAGGAACACACACAGATTCAGTCTCGCAGGAGGAACACACACAGATTCAGTCTCGCAGGAGGAACACACACTGATTCAGTCGCGCAGGAGGAACACACACTGATTCAGTCTCGCAGGAGGAACACACACAGATTCAGTCTCGCTGGAGGAACACACACAGATTCAGTCTCGCAGGAGGAACACACACAGATTCAGTCTCGCAGGAGGAACACACACTGATTCAGTCGCGCAGGAGGAACACACACTGATTCAGTCTCGCAGGAGGAACACACACTGATTCAGTCTCGCAGGAGGAACACACACTGATTCAGTCTCGCAGGAGGAACACACACTGATTCAGTCGCGCAGGAGGAACGCACACTGATTCAGTCTCGCAGGAGGAACGCACACTGATTCAGTCTCGCAGGAGGAACGCACACTGATTCAGTCTCGCAGGAGGAACGCACACAGATTCAGTCTCGCAGGAGGAACGCACACTGATTCAGTCTCGCAGGAGGAACACACACTGATTCAGTCGCGCAGGAGGAACACACACAGATTCAGTCTCGCAGGAGGAACACACACAGATTCAGTCTCGCAGGAGGAACACACACTGATTCAGTCTCGCAGGAGGAACACACACAGATTCAGTCTCGCAGGAGAAACACACACAGATTCAGTCTCGCAGGAGGAACACACACTGATTCAGTCTCGCTGGAGGAACACACACAGATTCAGTCTCGCAGGAGGAACACACACAGATTCAGTCTCGCAGGAGGAACACACACTGATTCAGTCTCGCTGGAGGAACACACACAGATTCAGTCTCGCAGGAGGAACACACACTGATTCAGTCTCGCAGGAGGAACACACACTGATTCAGTCGCGCAGGAGGAACACACACTGATTCAGTCTCGCAGGAGGAACACACACTGATTCAGTCTCGCAGGAGGAACACACACTGATTCAGTCTCGCAGGAGGAACACACACTGATTCAGTCTCGCAGGAGGAACACACACTGATTCAGTCTCGCAGGAGGAACACACACTGATTCAGTCTCGCAGGAGGAACACACACTGATTCAGTCGCGCAGGAGGAACACACACTGATTCAGTCTCGCAGGAGGAACACACACTGATTCAGTCGCGCAGGAGGAACACACACTGATTCAGTCTCGCAGGAGGAACACACACTGATTCAGTCTCGCAGGAGGAACACACACTGATTCAGTCTCGCAGGAGGAACACACACAGATTCAGTCTCGCAGGAGGAACACACACTGATTCAGTCTCGCAGGAGGAACACACACTGATTCAGTCTCGCAGGAGGAACACACACTGATTCAGTCTCGCAGGAGGAACACACACTGATTCAGTCTCGCAGGAGGAACACACACTGATTCAGTCTCGCAGGAGGAACACACACAGATTCAGTCTCGCAGGAGGAACCCACACTGATTCAGTCTCGCAGGAAGAACACACACTGATTCAGTCGCGCAGGAGGAACACACACTGATTCAGTCTCACAGGAGGAACACACACTGATTCAGTCTCGCAGGAGGAACACACACTGATTCAGTCTCGCAGGAGGAACACACACTGATTCAGTCTCGCAGGAGGAACACACACTGATTCAGTCTCACAGGAGGAACACACACTGATTCAGTCTCGCAGGAGGAACACACACTGATTCAGTCTCGCAGGAGGAACACACACTGATTCAGTCTCGCAGGAGGAACACACACAGATTCAGTCTCGCAGGAGGAACACACACAGATTCAGTCTCGCAGGAGGAACACACACTGATTCAGTCGCGCAGGAGGAACACACACTGATTCAGTCTCGCAGGAGGAACACACACAGATTCAGTCTCGCTGGAGGAACACACACAGATTCAGTCTCGCAGGAGGAACACACACAGATTCAGTCTCGCAGGAGGAACACACACAGATTCAGTCTCGCAGGAGGAACACACACAGATTCAGTCTCGCAGGAGTAACACACAATGATTCAGTCTCGCAGGAGGAACTGAATCAGTGTGTGTTCCTCCTGCGAGACTGAATCTGTGTGTGTTCCTCCTGCGCGACTGAATCTGTGTGTGTTCCTCCTGCGCGACTGAATCAGTGTGTGTTCCTCCTGCGCGACTGAATCAGTGTGTGTTCCTCCTGCGAGACTGAATCTGTGTGTGTTCCTCCTGCGCGACTGAATCAGTGTGTGTTCCTCCTGCGAGACTGAATCAGTGTGTGTTCCTCCTGCGAGACTGAATCAGTGTGTGTTCCTCCTGCGAGACTGAATCTGTGTGTGTTCCTCCTGCGAGACTGAATCAGTGTGTGTTCCTCCTGCGAGACTGAATCAGTGTGTGTTCCTCCTGCGAGACTGAATCAGTGTGTGTTCCTCCTGTGAGACTGAATCAGTGTGTGTTCCTCCTGCGAGACTGAATCAGTGTGTGTTCCTCCTGCGAGACTGAATCAGTGTGTGTTCCTCCTGCGCGACTGAATCTGTGTGTGTTCATGTGTGAGCGATGAACGCGCGTCAGTGTCACTTAAGTCATGTGATTATTGACGGATGTTGCAGTAGTAGTTAACCCTGAATGTGTGTGTGTGTGTGTGTGTGTGTGTGTGTGTGTGTGTGTGTGTGCGCGTGTGCGTGTGTAAGCAGTGTTCCACGAGGTGTCAGTGTATCCTAAGAAAGAGCTGCCGTTCTTCATCCTGTTCACGGCGGGTCTCTGCTCCTTCACGGCGATGCTAGCGCTGCTCACACACCAGTTCCCGGAGCTCATGGGAGTGTTCGCTAAAGCCGTGAGTATCACACAAACACAACATTACCCAGCATCCTTCACTGTCATCAGTCACTCTCCCTCATATCAGCCACACAGAAGAGTTTCGCTCATGCATCATAAAGGCTTTCTCAAAGCACATTATCATGCATGAGATCTTTTCATAAATAATGGTAACCAAAGTTAAAATGCATTATAATATTTGCAGATTCCTTGGTTGTTTGTCGCGTGTTTTAATGCATTAGACTTTCTGAAGGGGCAACATAAATATTACAATGTATTATAACTGTGATTACAATTATTCATGATTAGATCATACAATTAATACATTAATAATACTTTTATTATGCATTATACCAAAGTCCTTTTAGGCAAGTCATGCCACTCGGCCGCCATCTTGGCAACGCCTCCGGGCAGCTATTTCGGACTAACAAGACCAGGCTCCTATCTAAATGAATGGGCAGAGAGTCAGAACTGCAGTTTGTCACCGGGACATAAAAACTGCTTGTATAGAAACAGCAGTAAAATATGATAAAAATCCCTGAAAAAGTTTGATGACTTTGCCCCAAAATAAGGTTTAAAAGGCCTTTCCCCACAGGTTATACGTTTACTACGCATGCGCAAGGGTTCTCGTCTCCGCTGTTGCAAACCTCAACTGTGCGTCAGTGGAACCAGACGATAGGCTTACATGCTTCCCGGCTTGACTGTTAAAAGCAGACGATTGGCTTTCCAGCGGGAGGGGCGGGACATGTGCATACAACCGCCATCTTTGGCGTTATGGGTTTTCCCTATATAGTTGTACTGAGGATTGAGGAAGTGGCATGTCTCTATATAAATTGTCTCTGATTATACATATAAAGGCTTTAAAGTAAAGGGTTACTGATATTAGAGATTTCTGTCCCTCCACTGAAAGAACTCTGACGCTTCATAACGTTCATAAAGAGATCATAAAATAAATCCATAGTAATCGAGCGGTTGAGTCCCAGTCGTCGTCTCGTCATGAAGAGGTTTATGAACTACCGTACGCACCGTTGAAATGTTTGTATACAACTAGAGTGTGATTATTATATGTAAAAATAAATATTTGAATATAATAGTCTGGGTATCTGTGTTTATTTTTAACCTGTAATATTATAGTACGGCTATTGGCAGAATAATCAGATATCAGTATCGGCCCGTTCCAGTCAGATCACCTGTTCATCATGTGACTGTGTGTTGATCATGTGTTGATCATGTGACTGTGTTGATCATGTGACTGTGTTGATCATGTGACTGAACGCTGTGATGGAGAGCAGTTTGACAGGTTTCTCTCCGTCTCTCCTCAGTTTCTGAGCACGCTGTTCGCGCCGCTGAACTTCATCATGGAGAAGGTGGAGAGTATTCTTCCCTCGAGTCTGTGGCACCAGCTCACACGGATCTGACACACACACACACACACACACACACACACACGACTCATGTTGACTGAGGTGCCAATTCTTCAGAAGTGCCCGATAGACAGAAAACAGGAGAGACTCGAACAACATCAAGGAGAAAGGAATTCATTTCCCTCTTAATCTCGTGTAAAACTTTTCTGTCTAAAACTTTTAAAGGCCATCCGTATATAAAAGAAAAAAAAATAAAACAATTTCTGTACTGCGGCAAACAGACGTCTCCATTTTTGAGGCTCGTAAGAGAATTCTCCTCTTCTCTTCGCTGCCACTTTCTGTTCAGGTTTGTCTGAATGTTGATGGAAATAACTCCCACAATGCAGTGCAGTGCTGATGTGAATACATGGCTTTTTGTTTTATATTCAGAAGCGTCAGACTAATGTAGAGTTCTGTGTTTGATGAGTTCATGATGTTATATTGTTCTCTTCGATGGCTCACACTAGAGGGATGATGTGATGTTGATCAACTGACCACGGGAACGGATATTAAACATTTACTCTTTATAAAGAGACACACTGTACAGTAAAACAATGTCACATTGCCTGTGATCGCTTTTACAGTCTATATTTGTACAGTCTACAGTTCTCAGTGCGATCAAACATTTTGAATATCTGTGGATCAAGCTGTGGGATGTGTTTTCATGTCTGGCGTTTGAGAGCGAGCTTGTGTAAGTGTGAAGTCTGGAGAAACACTGGATGCACATCATAACTCATCGAGGTGAACGATTCAGTATCTGATTAGAAGCACATAAACTACGATGGAAACTATGAATCCTTCGATGTGCCTCAGCGTCAGCTGTGATTGGATAACTGGAGTAACCAGCGGACCAATGGCGTCGCAGCGTCTCTAATGTTGGTTTGGTGTTTCTGAAAGTCGGGAGTGTGTGATCAGAGTGATGTGGTGTAACTCCCTCCAGAAGTGTCTCACACACACACACGAGTGTGTTCCCGAACGCCAGAGAACACGACAGCGTTACTGCCTGACGCTTGACACACACTCGTTTTGATGACGCTCGACACACACTCGTTTATGATGGAGGGAAACAGAAGGATTGCATTACTGATATTTTAGGCCAGTTTCCCAGGAAGTGAAGATTTTGTATTCTGGAACATGTGATGGAAACTGCTTTATTCACAAATGTGCTATGCCATATTCCAGTTCAACTGAGAACTTTGGATGGAAACATTGCTAGTGATTAATGGATTCTGTTTGCTGTGTTGCTGAAATGTTCACAGAACACAACTTTCTGGATCTCACAACGGCAAGTCTCCAGTTCCTCAAACCCACTGCCCTGCTGAGTTTAGTCCTCGCCTAATCAGAGGGGCTGTCAGGTGTGTGTGTGTGTGTGTGTGTGTGTGATCATGTTTGAGCTGAACTGCAGGACAGTGGATCTGAGGAGCAGGATCTGCTGTTGAAGGCCAGAAGCTCGACGCTCTCGTTAATCCTGCAACTGCTCGTAACTTTGATGAACTGTGTTTGATGGAGTTGATCCGCAGAAGCCAGTCCTCTACACTAGCGGATCCTCGTCCTCGTCTCTCCACACTGATGTCTCTTTCTCACGCTCCTTCCCTCTTCATCTGCACTCCTTCCCTCTTCATCTGCACTCCTCACACATGTGATCAGGCTCAGGAAACCTCACTGCCACGAAAATGCTACAACAAAACAAGAATGGCTATAAAGCTCCTCCAGAATCACACCTGGATGAGGATGATGAGGATGATGAAGATAAGCATGTCAGACACATCAGCCATTCATTCTGAAGCAAAATTATTCGTATTGATCAATCGATGAAAACACAAGAACGTGCGAACACAAACTCGGGTTGAGATTCTTCACTCGCAATTGTGAGGAAAAAGCCGCATTTATATTTCCTTCATTTCCTATTCTGTGGCAGAAACGAGCTCTCATATCGAGCTGAGGTGAAAATGATTGTGTGTGTGTGTGTGTGTGTGTGTGTGTGTGTGTGTGTGTGTGTGTGTGTGTGTGTGTGTGTGTGTGTGTGTGTGTGTGTGAGGTCCTTGTTTCAGGTGTGTGTGATGATCTCGTCGGAGAAGAACAGATACAGTGAAGGCGCTGGAAAGGGAATCATCGTGAAGGAACGCTTCGGGTTCAGAGATTCAGCAGTTCCAGCTGAGAGGGCCAGATCAGGGGTTCATGTGTACAAAATAGTCATTTAGAGAATTTCTATCCATATCATCCACAAAACACCACATGGGAAACAAGCTGACTAGGATATGTTTTGATATAAACTCGAGTATCATAAACTTTAATTAGTTTTTGTTTAACATTCAATGTGTTATACAAGGGGCCTCGTTTAGAAATATTAAATCATTTTTCAGATGTGCGTAGGTGTGATGAACTACTGTAACGTGCACGCGCCTCGCTTTATACATCGTAATTCGCAAATCATCTTGAAATTGAGCTGAATGGCTTCCGATCTCCACTTTTAAAAGTTGCATAATTCATGTAAATTTACATGTTAAAGAGCCCGTCAACGTCCAAATCCTTTACTTTAAAGATGGCGAGATGTCCAGATATCCTGCAGTTCTCCCACTCTGCCACTAGAGTGACTCTCCAGACCGGACGTGACGCCATCAGCACTCTTCACGTCAAAGACCGGTTTCATATGAACGTTTGCGTGGATTTTAGCGTACACGCACTATAAGATCAACGCTTTATAAATGAGGCCCATGGTCTTCTTGATATTATTAACTCCTCTTTATCTCTAGGTCTCGTCCTGAAAAACTTTGTGCGGCGGTTATTAAACATCAGGAAATCATAACTTGATCCTTGTGAACTGGCAAATACAGACGCATCTCACATACATTACAACCTTATTCTAAACTTAGGAATGGAGTCATAATTCAGCAGTTATTGTGTCTTGTGCAAGTAAACACCTGTTATGTGAAAAGTTGATTCATAAATTAAAAAAAGGCTTATTTTGTTGCAATTATTACCGGTTTGCAGATTCTGCAAGGCGTCTATAACGCGTGTCTCGGTCTCTCGAGCGGTTTCGGGTTTGCCAGAGTAATGTATGATGATCTGCAAGCAAGTCCAAGACATTTGTTATAGAAAATGAACTTAGAACATTTGAAGATAAATAATTTCATTTTAAAAAGAAATGAGTAGACAAGACAATTTTTATGTTTGCAAAGCATGAATAAAAGGAAAAAGCAATATGTGTGTTATTGAGCTGTTACGACATAAAAACCTGCAGTGTTTGTTCAGTGAAGCACCCAGACAGCAACAGTGTCGGCCGGATCCGGTATTCCACACGGGCCGGATCTGGGCCGGATCCAGTATTCCACACGGGCCGGATCTGGGCCGGATCCGGGCCGGATCCAGTATTCCACACGGGCCGGATCCGGGCCGGATCCAGTATTCCACACGGGCCGGATCTGGGCCGGATCCGGTATTCCACACGGGCCGGATCCGGGCCGGATCCAGTATTCCACACGGGCCGGATCTGGGCCGGATCCGGGCCGACACGGTTGAGTTCTGGGAAACCAGCTCTTGCTGTTACACTGTGTTCAGAAACTGCTCAACGCTCTTTATGACTGAAGAGTTCTTGCCATATATATTTATCAAGTTTTACTTTTATTAATTTAGCACTTCATACAATACAAATTCCTTAAAAACAGCTTTACAGTAAAATCAGTGTGTGAAGAATCAGTGGTTTCTAATACAACTTATAATACAAGTACAACAAAGCAGCTCTAGAATACAGAGAATTCGATCTACAATAGTTTAAAGTACAGCTTTAACGTGGAGACCAAGGAGACCGTGGCAAACTCCATCCCATGAGCTTTATTAATACTGATCGCCATCTTTCCTTCATATGATATGATCTCTACCAGAAACGTCGAGATCATATGAACAGCTGATGGCTCTGTTCAGTGAGCGCTGAGTAAAGCTGGTCTCTAAACTGCAGAGAAGCCCAGAGGAAACCACTTCTCCTGGTCCAGAACCCTCTCTCCCAGAACCACGTTTGTGGCCGCAACGAAAGCCTTCCTGCTCTTCACCGTGACCTCCAGCACACGGCCGTGGAGCTTCAGCACGTTCCGGTACTCGATCTGAGAGGAAACAGCAGATCTCACGCTCAGACCCACGGCGGCTGGAAACACAGGTACAGATGAAGGTGTTCTCTCACCAGTTCGTTGAATGTGGGGTTGTCGTTGCTGCGGACCGCTTTGGTCTTCCTCTTGCTCTGGTCGTGTGGATCGGGTCTCAGTCGCGTAACCACATACGCATCCGGACACGAGCCGTTAGACAACCTCTGAGAGACACACACACACACACAGATCTGCTTCAAAACACACCAGCCAGTGAATGTTCTCGCAAAGCTCTTCCAGTAACGGTTATATCATCTGGTCTTTAACAATGTTCTCAGAACGTTAGCACAAAAACATTATTTATACATCGTTCACGGAGTGTTTTAGTTGGATGTTCGTCTAATGTAAACTAAAAATACAATAAAAACAGCAATGTTGTGAAATATTAATCAAATAAATGCAGCCTTGGTGAGCAGAAGAGACTTATGGTCGGTAGTGTGTGTGAGTGAGTTAGTTACGTGAACACATTAAACTCGTCATGTCAAATCATGATTTTCAAATCAAGAAGGGTTGAAAAATGACTCACAATATTTTTCAAGTGCTTTATCATGACAGATAGTTTGAAGTCTTTATAAGACAGGTAGAGCTGGATCTGTGGCCGGAGATGAGCGTCTGGTTCTGAAACAAACAGAAACGAGGAGCCGCTAACTGATGCACAACTGCCGCAATATTGCAGTGTTTAAACAGAAGAAATAACTCGTGTTAAAATGTAAAGCGCTTGGAAATTCCAATCCATTTAAACCTTCAAAATATCGCTGGTTTGGGAATAAAATATGTGAATGAATCCTTAAACAAGTCAACGCCAGGCGACAGCAGATGTGTGTGATCACTGAGATCATGAAACATGATTATAACTATTATAACTCTGATTTATCATCCTCTTCGAGCGAGTCCTGACATTTACACGGCAGCTCCAAAGTTTCATGTATAAAGACATTAACACTGGGAAAAATCTATATTATAAATATATAGAAAATATTACTTGGAAAATATTTAGTTTCTATTTCGTTACATCATTACTTTTTACACACTATAGTACTTCACTGTAAGATGTATTTGTTTATTTGAATCAAATGCATTTATAATTTCATTAAATCAAGGATTATTCAGTTATTTATTTTAATAAATTATTTATTTAAATCAAAGGTATTATTTATTTACTTAATTTTACTCATTTTATTTTAATCAGATGTCTTTATTATATATTTAAATCAAGGTTTATTCATTTAAATCATTTATTGATATATTGTAATCAAATATATGTATTTATTTATTATTTATTGAAATAAAGTTTACTTATTTTAATTTTCTTTTCATTTAAATTCATGAAAATGTATTATTTATTTAAATCAAGGTTTATTTATTTTAATCAAATTTATTTATTTAACTTAAGAATTAAAAAAAATTAGTTCGTTTTATTTTAATCAAATGTATTTATTATTCATTTAAATCAAGGTTTATTCATTTAAATAAATTATTTATTTAAATAAAATTTTACTTCATCTTTTTTTATATTTACATCAAATTAAGTGAGTTAGTTCATCTTATTGTAATTATTTGTGTATTTCTCCCGTCTGAAAGTGAAAGCGCTGCTTTAACAGTGAAGTGTGACTGTGAGAATCATCAGAATCTGCTGTCACTGATGGAAACGTCACCGATGGAAAGTCACCTGATTTGCCGGCGGTGTTCGGTCCGTCCAGGAACAGGCTGCAGACGTACTCGTTCTGTCATAGACACAGTGAAACATCAGTGATGGTGCAGTGAACTCTGGGAAACATCAGTGATGGTGCAGTGAACTCTGGGAAACATCAGTTATAGTGCAGTGAACTCTGGGAAACATCAGTGATGGTGCAGTGAACTCTGGGAAACATCAGTTATAGTGCAGTGAACTCTGGGAAACATCAGTGATGGTGCAGTGAACTCTGGGAAACATCAGTTATAGTGCAGTGAACTGGAAACATCAGTGATGGTGCAGTGAACTCTGGGAAACATCAGTTATAGTGCAGTGAACTCTGGGAAACATCAGTTATAGTGCAGTGAACTCTGGGAAACATCAGTGATGGTGCAGTGAACTCTGGGAAACATCAGTTATGGTGCAGTGAACTCTGGGAAACATCAGTGATGGTGCAGTGAACTCTGGGAAACATCAGTGATGGTGCAGTGAACTCTGGGAAACATCAGTGATGGTGCAGTGAACTCTGGGAAACATACGTTATAGTGCAGTGAACTCTGGGAAACATCAGTGATGGTGCAGTGAACTCTGGGAAACATCAGTGATGGTGCAGTGAACTCTGGGAAACATCAGTGATGGTGCAGTGAACTCTGGGAAACATCAGTTATAGTGCAGTGAACTCTGGGAAACATCAGTTATAGTGCAGTGAACTCTGGGAAACATCAGTGATGGTGCAGTGAACTCTGGGAAACATCAGTGATGGTGCAGTGAACTCTGGGAAACATACGTTATAGTGCAGTGAACTCTGGGAAACATCAGTGATGGTGCAGTGAACTCTGGGAAACATCAGTGATGGTGCAGTGAACTCTGGGAAACATACGTTATAGTGCAGTGAACTCTGGGAAACATCAGTGATGGTGCAGTGAACTCTGGGAAACATCAGTGATGGTGCAGTGAACTCTGGGAAACATCAGTGATGGTGCAGTGAACTCTGGGAAACATACGTTATAGTGCAGTGAACTCTGGGAAACATCAGTGATGGTGCAGTGAACTCTGGGAAACATCAGTGATGGTGCAGTGAACTCTGGGAAACATCAGTGATGGTGCAGTGAACTCTGGGAAACATCAGTTATAGTGCAGTGAACTCTGGGAAACATCAGTGATGGTGCAGTGAACTCTGGGAAACATCAGTGATGGTGCAGTGAACTCTGGGAAACATCAGTGATGGTGCAGTGAACTCTGGGAAACATCAGTGATGGTGCAGTGAACTCTGGGAAACATCAGTTATAGTGCAGTGAACTCTGGGAAACATCAGTGATGGTGGAGTGAACTCTGGGAAACATCAGTGATGGTGCAGTGAACTCTGGGAAACATCAGTGATGGTGCAGTGAACTCTGGGAAACATCAGTGATGGTGCTGTGAACTCTGGGAAACATCAGTGATGGTGCAGTGAACTCTGGGAAACATCAGTGATGGTGCAGTGAACTCTGGGAAACATCAGTGATGGTGCAGTGAACTCTGGGAAACATCAGTTATAGTGCAGTGAACTCTGGGAAACATCAGTGATGGTGCAGTGAACTCTGGGAAACATCAGTGATGGTGCAGTGAACTCTGGGAAACATCAGTGATGGTGCTGTGAACTCTGGGAAACATCAGTGATGGTGCAGTGAACTCTGGGAAACATCAGTGATGGTGCAGTGAACTCTGGGAAACATCAGTGATGGTGCAGTGAACTCTGGGAAACATCAGTTATAGTGCAGTGAACTCTGGGAAACATCAGTGATGGTGCAGTGAACTCTGGGAAACATCAGTTATAGTGCAGTGAACTCTGGGAAACATCAGTGATGGTGCAGTGAACTCTGGGAAACATCAGTTATAGTGCAGTGAACTCTGGGAAACATCAGTGATGGTGGAGTGAACTCTGGGAAACATCAGTGATGGTGCAGTGAACTCTGGGAAACATCAGTGATGGTGCAGTGAACTCTGGGAAACATCAGTGATGGTGCTGTGAACTCTGGGAAACATCAGTGATGGTGCAGTGAACTCTGGGAAACATCAGTGATGGTGCAGTGAACTCTGGGAAACATCAGTGATGGTGCAGTGAACTCTGGGAAACATCAGTTATAGTGCAGTGAACTCTGGGAAACATCAGTGATGGTGCAGTGAACTCTGGGAAACATCAGTGATGGTGCAGTGAACTCTGGGAAACATCAGTGATGGTGCTGTGAACTCTGGGAAACATCAGTGATGGTGCAGTGAACTCTGGGAAACATCAGTGATGGTGCAGTGAACTCTGGGAAACATCAGTGATGGTGCAGTGAACTCTGGGAAACATCAGTGATGGTGCAGTGAACTCTGGGAAACATCAGTGATGGTGCAGTGAACTCTGGGAAACATCAGTGATGGTGCAGTGAACTCTGGGAAACATCAGTGATGGTGCAGTGAACTCTGGGAAGCGGCTCAGTCATGCTTACTCCTCTGCAGGGCCCGGAGAACAGCTCCTTCAGGTACCGGTTCAGCAGAACCATCCTCCTGCTCGCTGTGAAGGACATGTGGAACCAGCTGGGGAACCTGGAAGAAGGAGAACAGCGGATCAGGATCAGTGCGGCTCTCACTCACACACACACACCTCCTCGGGCCGGCTGTGGAAGAACACACACACACCTCCTTGGGCCGGCTGTGGACTGACTCACTGACTCACTGACTCACTGACTCACTCACTCACTCACTCACTCACTCACACACTCACACACTCACACACACACTCACTCACACACCTCTTCGGGCCGGCTGTGTAAACAGACTCTTACTTGGGCAGTGTGGACTCGATGAAGTGCTTCTGAAGCAGCTTGTGGAGCGTCCCGAACTGAGCAAAGCTCTTGTGACTGATGACGAAACCGTCCTCGATGGTCAGCTTCAGCTCGTACGTCTGACGGAGGAGAAACATTGCTGTCTTTAGGAGTCATTAGATGTGTGCTAGAGTTCATCTGTCTGTGAAGGCTCGAACCCGAACACTCACTACGCTTTACTACACAAACACAGCCTGGCCTGTTTATTGGTAACACTTTACAGTAAGGTTTCATTAGTTAACATTAGTTAATGTATCAACTAACATTAATAAATACTGTAACAAATGTATTGTTCATGATTAGTTAATCTTTGTTAATGTTACTTCATAAAAATAAAGCTGTTCATTGTTTGTTCATGTTAGTTCACAGTGCATTAACTAATGTTACCAAGATTGTAATAAAGTATTAGTAAATGTTGACATTAACAAAGATTAATAAATGCTGTAAACATGCAGTTCATTATTAGTTCATGCTTTATTGTAAAGTGTTACCGTTTCATTTGTTAACATTATCTACATTAGTTAAACTAACAATGTTACTCTATATTTGAACATGTACGTTAATGAGATGCTGGAGGACCTGAAAGAAGACAATAAATGTGAAAAAAAATATTTACTGCCCAAATATACTTTGACTTTTCTGTTTACTTGTCATTATAAGCCAAGATTACGTCATTATAAGCCAAGATTACGCAAGTATAAACTGAAGTATGACTGCCTTATCTGAGATAATCTTATTTTTAGTTCAAAAGATTAAAGGACAAGTTCGGTATTTTACACTTGAAGCCCTGTTTCAAGACCGTTTCTGATGAAATAGAACGGTTAAGATTAAAATTTGGACACATGCTGCTGTCCCGAGAAATTTCGGTTTCTGTAGGTCTTCCTGAAGGAATCTCACCACATCTTTGCCGCTGCCGCTGTATTTCTGGATCACGGCCTGCTGGATGTTGGATCTGTTGGAGATCCGGCTGTCAGTCAGCGGCTCCGGACGTCTCCCGGAGGAAAACTGCACCATATTGTGGATCAGGAAGTTTAACTTCACAGGGAAACTCTCCATGCTCTCTTTAATCTTTCTGAAACAGAAAATAAAATCTAGTCCTAAAAAAGCAGAACCTCCACAAACACTCAAAGGGCAGCAGGATAATGTTGAAGGCGTTAGTTATTACACGGCTCTGTGGAATGCTTGATTCTGATTGGTCAATCGCGCCATTAAGCATAACATCCGCTGAGAACAGAAACACAGGCTCATCCGGGTCACTGAAGTCATCAGCGCTATACGAACAGGTACGATTTTGAAATGGTTTAATCTGAAATTAATATCTCTTCTTGAAATGCTGAGTAATAAGTGTTATGACCGTATCTCTTAAATGTCCGTCTAGTTTGATCTCGCCGCTGAAACTGCTCTCTCCGCGGAAGCTTTGCGTTTAAAGAGATATTAAAATATTTCAACTCAGATCAATATTTCATGTCTAATTATTTACTGATGTGCAAGCAGCCGTGTAATATTCGGATAATGTACATTCAGCCGGCTGTTATCTCAGAATAAACCCCTTCAGGTGTGTGTGTGTGTGTGTGTGTGTTATCTCAGAATAAACCCCTTCAGGTGTGTGTGTGTGTGTGTGTGTGTGTGTGTTATCTCAGAATAAACCCCTTCAGGTGTGTGTGTGTGTGTGTTATCTCAGAATAAACCCCCTTCAGGTGTGCGTGTGTGTGTGTGTTATCTCAGAATAAACCACCTTCAGGTGTGTGTGTGTGTGTGTGTGTGTTATCTCAAAATAAACCCCCTTCAGGTGTGTGTGTGTGTGTGTGTGTTATCTCAGAATAAACCCCCTTCAGGTGTGTGTGTGTGTGTGTGTGTGTGTTATCTCAGAATAAACCCCCTTCAGGTGTGTGTGTGTGTTATCTCAGAATAAACCCCTTCAGGTGTGTGTGTGTTATCTCAGAATAAACCCCCTTCAGGTGTGTGTGTGTGTGTGTTATCTCAGAATAAACCCCCTTCAGGTGTGTGTGTGTTATCTCAGAATAAACCCCCTTCACCTGATCCTGATCACCCTGTCGGGTTTATCCTGAGATAACAACCGGCTCGATGTACATTATCTCTTACATATTTCACTACATTAGTTCCAGGATTCTCTGATCTCTGCTGACCTGGTGAAATATGAAGTGGCCTCGAGCTCAGAGTCGTGTGGCCGCAGGTTATTATGAACATACTGAAGATCCCGGACATCCTTCACATCAGGCATTCCGGCCGCCAGCATCTACACACACACACACACACACACACACACACAGACCGTCAGATAACAGAATGAGTCAGTGAAGTGAAGCTGTAAAGCCGGTTGTTATCTCAGAATAAACCCCCTTCAGAGTGTCTGTGTGTGTGTGTGTGTGTGTGTGTGTGTGTGTGTGTGTGTGGTCTCACCGGCTGCAGGAGGCTGAGCAGCAGTGGTGTGTGTGTGTGTGTGTGTGTGTGTGTGTGGTCTCACCGGCTGCAGGAGGCTGAGCAGCAGTGGTGTGTGTGTGTGTGTGTGTGTGTGTGTGTGGTCTCACCGGCTGCAGGAGGCTGAGCAGCAGTGGTGTGTGTGTGTGTGTGTGTGTGTGTGTGTGTGTGTGTGTGTGGTCTCACCGGCTGCAGGAGGCTGAGCAGCAGTGGTGTGTGTGTGTGTGTGTGTGTGTGTGTGGTCTCACCGGCTGCAGGAGGCTGAGCAGCAGTGGTGTGTGTGTGTGTGTGTGTGTGGTCTCACCGGCTGCAGGAGGCTGAGCAGCAGTGGTGTGTGTGTGTGTGTGTGTGGTCTCACCGGCTGCAGGAGGCTGAGCAGCAGTGGTGTGTGTGTGTGTGTGTGTGGTCTCACCGGCTGCAGGAGGCTGAGCAGCAGTGGGGTGTGTGTGTGTGTGTGTGTGGTCTCACCGGCTGCAGGAGGCTGAGCAGCAGTGGTGTGTGTGTGTGTGTGTGTGTGTGTGGTCTCACCGGCTGCAGGAGGCTGAGCAGCAGTGGGGTGTGTGTGCGCAGGCTGTTGTAAGCGTTACAGCACAGCTCCACGAACCGATGGAAGCGCTGAGGGTTCTCGCCGCCGCCAGTGATGAAGCGCTGCATCTCCGGCGTGAAGATGAAGGGCGTTCGGTCTCTGCATTCACAAACGCTTCTTTTACAAGGGTTTCCTTTCGTTTACTCAAAGACTACGAGACAAGAGAACAAACACTCGCCTCCTGATGCTGCCGAACTTCTGTGCGTTTCCCATGATCTTCCCGAAGTCGATGTGGAACATGTGGCCGCTGTGTTTGATCATGATGTTGTCGTTGTGACGGTCACAGATGCCCAGAACAAACGTGACGACACACCAGCCGGCACACGAGTGGAGGAAGTTCAGCACAGCCTGAGGGAAGGACAGTGTGTGTGTGTGTGTGAGAGACTCGAGGTCAGTCTGTGTGTGTGTGTCTGTGTGTTTCTGTCTGAATGACAGCTGTACACTCATTTTTTCAAAGTAAGAAAATTACAAGTTAAAACATTTGGTATCAATATTTTACGTGAGCAGCGATGCTCTCATAACAACGTCAGTATCGCAAGTATTTACACTTATTTTCACACTCAAATAGAAAATATAGATTGCAGAAATAAACATGTTATTTTTGCTATAGTACTGATCCGTCACCTTCTCGTAGTCGTCTTTAGTCTTGTTCCTCATGTGGAACCACTTCTCTAAGGTGTCTTCCCTCAGCGCTCCGGATAAACCCCATTCCTGATGGATCGTCGCCAGAGTCACTGCGTCCTGCACCACTTCCACCAGACCTGAATACAGTCAAAAAATCATCTCCGATCCCTCACACCCTGCTCATCACCTCTTCCAGCTCCTTCCTTCAGGGAGGCGCTACAGGTCATTCTCTACCAAGACCAAACGTTTCACAAACAGTTTTTTTCCCATAGCCATCAGGACTCTGAACTCTTCTCTCTAGTTTAGTAGTCTATACACTATGCACGGTCACTTAACCACTGTATCTTGCACTGTCACTTGTTGTGAAATGTATTGTCGATCTGTTGTTTGTAATGCATACACATGATGTAGTGCTTAAACATACTGTACCGAAAACGAATTCCACCGGCATTGTCGTGTGGCTAAATAAACAATCTATCTATCTATCTATCTATCTATCTAAACCAGTGGTAAGAGTAAACACACACACACACACGCTTATACTCACACTCATAATCATACTCACACACATACTCTCACACACACACAAACACACTCACAGAGACTCAAACTCACACTCACTCACTCTCTCTCTCACTCACTCGCTCTCTCACTCACTCGCTCTCTCACTCACTCGCTCTCTCACTCACTCGCTCGCTCTCTCACTCTCTCACTCGCTCTCTCTCACTCACACTCTCTCTCTCACTCGCTCGCTCTCTCACTCACTCGCTCTCACTCACACTCTCTCTCTCACTCGCTCGCTCTCTCACTCGCTCGCTCTCACTCTCTCACTCACTCGCTCTCTCACTCACTCGCTCTCTCACTCACTCACTCTCTCACTCACTCACTCTCACTCTTCACTCACTCTCACTCTTCACTCACTCTCACACACTCACTCGCTCTCACACTCACTCGCTCTCTCACTCACTCGCTCTCACTCACTCTCTCACTCACTCTCACTCACTCTCACTCACTCTCACTCACTCTCTCTCACTCTCTCTCACTCACTCTCTCTCACTCTCTCTCTCTCACTCGCTCGCTCGCTCTCTCACTCACTCGCTCTCTCTCTCACTCGCTCTCTCGCTCTCTCACTCACTCGCTCTCTCACTCACTCGCTCTCTCACTCGCTCGCTCACTCACTCGCTCTCTCACTCACTCGCTCTCTCACTCACTCGCTCTCACTCACTCACTCACTCACTCACTCACTCACTCGCTCTCACTCACTCACTCACTCACTCACTCACTCACTCACTCACTCGCTCTCACTCACTCACTCACTCACTCACTCACTCACTCTCTCTCACTCACTCTCACTCTCACTCTCTCACTCTCACTCGCTCTCACTCACTCGCTCTCACTCACTCACTCACTCACTCACTCACTCACTCACTCTCTCACTCTCACTCACTCTCACTCACTCTCACTCACTCTCACTCACTCACTCACTCTCTCACTCTCTCACTCTCTCACTCACTCTCTCACTCTCTCACTCTCTCACTCACTCTCACTCACTCTCACTCACTCACTCTCACTCACTCTCACTCACTCTCACTCACTCTCACTCACTCTCACTCACTCTCACTCGCTCTCACTCACTCACTCTCACTCACTCTCACTGAGTGAGAGTGATCGATTGCTCCTGTCTGCCTCGCTGCCTGCTGTGTGTTTGTTTGCTTCGAGGCTGTAAGCTCCGCCTGAGCCTCGTATTTCTTTATGTTTTGAGCCATCATTTACTATCTAGTTGTTTATACTACTAAATACAGCTTACCCAACATCTCAGATTAACCTTACATCTCTAGCTTCCGTTATTTTCAACACAGCACGCTAGTAACTCGCTAACGTTAGCCTGCTAACGCGCCACCCGTGCGCTCATTTATATATTTATTTTCTCTCGCGCGCCCGCGCCTTTGAGTTCATAAAGTCCAGGTAAGTAAGAAATCAGTTAACAAACACGGTGAGTAATGTGTTCTTGTCCTGTTATTGTCACCTGTGTCACATGTCATATGTTTAGTATAGCCTTCTACGATGGCAATATAGGATTTATATGTGATAAATGCAAGGAGACAGTCAGGCTGACGGAGAAGATTTCAGAACTAGAGACACGCATCCAAACTTTAATTGAGGATGGTAAGAATGCTAGAGCTTTAGATAGTGTTTTGGATGCGCCTAGCATAGTGAACTCTTTACATGATTCGGTTCTGGCTGAAGTAGAGCCCGTGCAGCAGGGCAGATGGGTGACTGTGAGAGATCACCGCTCTAGTCGCGGATCAAAGAACCACTCTTCCGTTCCGATTCCCATAACAAATCGATTTGCCCCACTCAGTGAAACACACACTGAGAATTCTGTTGATTGTGCCCTGGTAATTGGTGATTCGATCACACGGAACGTGAAAATAGAGACACCAGCCACCATAGTCACATGTTTGCCGGGAGCCAGAGCGCCTGACATCAAAGCAAATTTAAAAGTGCTGGCTAATGCTAATCGTAAATTCTCTAAGATCATTATTCATGTCGGCACTAATGATGTTCGACTCCGCCAGTCGGAGATCACCAAAATTAATGTTCGCAGGAGTGATGAGATAGTTAGTAGATTGGCCTCACTGAATCGCTGGCTGTCTGAGTGGTGTCCGCTGAATAATATAAAATTCATAGACAATTGGAAAAGTTTTTGGGGCAAGCCTGACCTGTTAAAAAGAGATGGTATCCATCCCTCCTGGGCTGGTGCTGCTCTTCTCTCTAGTAATTTGGCTCATAGTCTTAGAGCTAAAACATGACAATCTGGGGCTCAGGTCAGGAAGCAGACAGACTGGCTAAACCGACCGTCTGCTAGCGGCCTCACGTCACCAAGGTCAGATAAATCCCATCACATAGAGCCTCTTTCACCTAGATATCATCATATGGAGACTGTGTCTGTTCCCCGAATTTGGAAATCCAAAAAACGTCAGGTTAAAAATTTAATTGATGTTCAACAAATAAAAAACAGATATAATACAGATGAGCAAATGATAAAGCTTGGGTTGCTGAATATTCGATCCCTTACTTCAAAATCTCTTATAGTTAATGATATGATTTCAGATTATAATCTTGATATGCTGTGTTTGACAGAAACCTGGCTAAAACCAAACGATTACATTATTTTAAATGAGTCAACCCCACAAGATTACAGTTATAAAAATGAACCTCGTCTGAAAGGCAAAGGGGGAGGTGTTGCTGTAATTTATAGTAATATTTTCAAAACCACTAAGAAATGTAGCTTTAAATATACTTCTTTTGAAGTATTGGTGCTTAATGTAAAAATATATAGTGTAAACGATAAATCACATTTGAGAATTCTGCTGGCTACTGTATACAGGCCACCAGGGCACCATAAAGATTTTATCAAAGAATTTGCGGACTTTCTATCAGATTTAGTATTGGCTGCAGATAAAGTACTAATTGTTGGTGATTTTAATATACATGTAGATAATGAAAAAGATGCATTGGGATTGGCATTTAAAGACATTGTAAACTCAATTGGAGTTAGACAACACGTGTCAGGACCTACTCATTGTCGTAATCATACTCTAGATCTAATATTATCACATGGAATAGATGTTGATGCCGTTGAAATTCTGCAGCAGAGCGATGACATCTCAGATCATTATCTAGTCTCATGTAAATTACATTTAGCCAAGGCTGCAAAGCCGACTCCGTGTTATAAATACGTTAGACCTATAACTTCTGCCACTAAAGATTGCTTTATCAATAATCTTCCTAATCATTTTCATCATCTCAGCATCCCGGATAGCTTAGAAGAACTTGATATTGCAACAGAAACGTTTAACTCTCTCTTTTCCAGCACTTTAGACGCAGTTGCTCCATTGCGCTTAAAGAAGATTAAAGAAAATAGTCCAACGCCGTGGTACAGCGAGCACACCCAGGCCCTTAAGAGAGCAGCCAGAAAAATGGAGCGCAACTGGAAGAAAACTAAACTAGAGGTATTTCGGATTTCGTGGAAAGAGAGCTCGATTGCTTACAGAGAGGCTTTAAAAGCTGCTAGATCTGCTTATTTTTCAACCCTATTAGAAGAAAATAAACATAATCCTAGGTATTTATTTGAAACAGTGGCTAAACTAACGAAAAAGAAAGCTTCAAGCTCAGAAGTGTCAAAGCAACACAGCAGTGATGACTTTATGAACTTCTTCACTTATAAGATTGATAATATCAGGGACAAAATTATAACTATGCAACCGTCTACCACAGTATCGCATCAGGAAGTGCATTGTAGTCTCCCTGAGGAAAAATTTGATTTATTTGTTGCTATAGGAGAGGAAGAATTCTGCAAACTCGTTAATTCATCTAAATCGACAACTTGTATGTTAGATCCTATACCGACTAAGCTACTGAAAGAGATGTTTCCAGAGGTCATATATCCTCTTCTTAATATCATTAATTCATCTTTGTCTCTAGGATACGTACCAAAAACCTTTAAACTGGCTATGATAAAACCGCTTGTTAAAAAACCACAACTTGATCCTACAGAATTAGTCAATTACAGGCCGATCTCGAATCTGCCTTTTCTGTCAAAGATATTAGAAAAAGCAGTATCTTCACAACTGTGTTCCTTTCTAGAAAGAAATGATATCTGCGAGGATTTTCAGTCCGGATTCAGACTGTACCATAGCACTGAGACAGCTCTCATCAGAGTCACACATGATTTGCTCTTATCATCCGATCGTGGTTGTATCTCTCTATTAGTGTTACTCGATCTTAGTGCTGCATTTGACACCATTGACCACAACATTCTTTTAAATAGACTAGAAAACTATGTTGGCATTAGTGGAATTGCATTAGCATGGTTTAAATCATACTTAACTGACCGTTATCAGTTTGTAGCAGTAAATGAAGAGATGTCTTATCGATCACAAGTTCAGTATGGCGTACCACAAGGCTCAGTACTAGGACCGCTGCTGTTCATTCTGTACATGCTACCATTAGGAGATATCATTAGGAAACATGGAGTTAGCTTTCACTGTTATGCCGATGATACTCAGGTGTATATTTCTTCAAAACCCAACGAAACTTACCAATTCACAAAATTAACGGAATGCATAGCTAATATAAAAAATTGGATGACTAGTAATTTCCTACTACTAAATTCTGAAAAGACAGAGATTCTAATTATTGGACAAAAAACTTCCACACGTAATAACCCAGAATACTGTCTAACACTTAATGGCTGCTCTGTCAAGTCTTCGTCGTCGGTTAGGAACCTGGGTGTGCTCTTTGATACCAACCTTTCTTTTGAAAGCCACGTGTCTAGTATCTGTAAAACTGCATTTTTCCATCTTAAAAATATATCTAAAATACGCCATATGCTCTCATTGGGAAATGCGGAACAATTAGTCCATGTGTTCATGACCTCAAGGCTAGATTATTGTAAAGCTCTACTGGGTGGTTGCCCTGCACGCTTAATAAACAAACTACAGCTAGTTCAAAACGCCGCAGCTCGAGTTCTTACCAGAACCAGGAAATATGACCATATTAGCCCGGTTCTGTCAACACTGCATTGGCTCCCTATTAAACATCGTATAAATTTTAAAATATTGTTGATTACCTACAAAGCACTAAATGGTTTAGCTCCGCAGTACTTGAGCGAGCTCTTAACGCATTATAGTCCTTCACGTCTATTGCGATCTCAAAATTCTGGCCAGTTTATAATACCTAGAATATCTAAATCGACTGCTGGCGGGAGATCCTTTTCCTATTTAGCACCAAAACTTTGGAACAGTCTTCCTACCATTGTCCGGGAAGCAGACACACTCTGTCAGTTCAAAGCTAGACTAAAAACACATCTCTTTGACCTAGCATACACATAATACATTATAGACTTCTATAAATTCAATGTTAGGCTGCATAGATTAGGTCAGCCGGAACTGGGAACACTTCCCTTAAATCTTGATGTACTCGCTACATCATAAGAAGAATGGCATCTACGCTAATATTACTGTCTTTGTTTATCCCGAGGTTTTCCCGCAGCCTGCCGGATCCAGGCCGTGTCCAGATCTGACGAGGGAGCTTTGCCTGGACCCGATGACAATGCAGTGCTGAAGTATCCACTATCCTCTCCCTATGGAGGATCCCTTTCCCACTCTACAGATAAAGCGTTGTGAATTCCGGCTCGCGTACCCCGAAGTGATAATATAAAACAAAATTCTGTATAAAAATTTTTAGGCAAGAAAACTAGTTTGTTTAGGCTGGGTTGTATGAATTACAAACCTGCGCACATATTTTAAAAAGCACATAACTATAGAATTCTGAATGAGCATGTGAACGCCGTCTGCGTTAATCACAGGTTCGCGTTTAAAGTCTGATCATTTCGACGGAGGTGAATCAATCAAAGTTAACTTTAGCTGGAAGTAACATTATTCAAGAACCGCTATAACGCCAAAACAATCTGTTACCTTAAATGATATGTTTATCTCTGTAAAGCTGCTTTGAAACAATCCATTGTTAAAAGCGCTATATAAATGAAGATGACTTGACTTGACTCACTCTCACTCTCACTCACTCACTCGCTCTCACTCACACTCACTCACTCACTCACTCGCTCTCACTCACACTCTCTCTCTCTCACTCACTCGCTCGCTCTCTCACTCACTCGCTCTCACTCACTCACTCGCTCTCACTCTCACTCACTCTCACTCACACTCTCTCTCTCTCACTCGCTCGCGCTCTCACTCACTCACTCACTCACTCGCTCTCACTCACTCACTCTCACTCACTCTCACTCACTCTCTCTCACTCACTCTCACTCACTCTCTCTCACTCTCTCTCACTCTCTCTCACTCTCTCTCACTCTCTCTCACTCTCTCTCACTCACTCACTCTCTCGCTCTCTCACTCACTCGCTCTCACTCACTCGCTCTCACTCACACTCTCTCTCACTCACTCACTCGCGCGCTCTCACTCACTCACTCACTCGCTCTCACTCACTCTCTCTCACTCTCTCTCACTCACACTCTCACTCACTCTCTCTCACTCTCTCTCACTCTCTCTCACTCTCACTCTCACTCTCTCACTCTCTCTCACTCACTCTCTCTCACTCACTCTCACTCTCACTCACTCACTCTCACTCCACACTAGTGAGTAAAGGATGTAATACATCAGTATGATTATAACAGACTGACCTCGATCTCACACACACTCTCACACAGACTGACCTCGATCTCACACACACTCTCACACAGACTGACCTCGATCTCTGCCAGCAGACAGGCATCTGTATGTGACCATGCGCATGTCCAGCCGCTCGAGCCTCCACATGCGGTCCACTAGACGCACGATCTGCAGCACCAGCATGTCCTGCCGCAGGTTCTCTCCGCTCTGAAACATACACACAAACACTCCGCTCAGCCGGACTGAAACAACAGCACACAAACACTCCGCTCAGCCGGACTGAAACAACAGCACACACACACTCCGCTCAGCCAGACTGAAACAACAGCACACACACACTCCGCTCAGCCGGACTAAAACAACAGCACACACACACTCCGCTCAGCCAGACTGAAACAACAGCACACACACACTCCGCTCAGCCAGACTGAAACAACAGCACACACACACATACTCTGCTCAGCTGGACTGAAACAACAGCGCACACACACACACACACACTCCGCTCAGCCGGACTGAAACAACAGCACACACACACACACACACACGCTCCGTTCAGCGGGACTGAAACTGAAACTGCTGAAGACCCTCAAACCTTGCAGATGACGCTGTAGTTTCGTCCCAGCGGGTCGGCGGTGATGAAGGACACTTCCACAGGAGCTGCGTTTGAGTTATAAACCTTAAAAGCCTGAGAGACACACACAGGGTTTCTTATGATTCACACAAAACAAACACCTCATCACTAACACTGACAGATCCTGTAGTTCAGCAACGACATTGACTACTGATCGGTTAAAGCGTCTAACACTGTCAGATCCTCCGTATCTCTAGCTCACATCCAGCGAACATGCCGGATATTAACCGCAGCGAACCGGGAACGTTCTCTCAAAGTTATGAACAAACGTTCTTCCAGTAACATTAATAGAACATTAATTCACAGTTATCTGGCCTTTAACAATGGTGTAAGGTATGGACTGTCAGTTGACTTCCTCCTTTCCTCAAGCAAGAACGTGTGTACAACACACACACACACTCTCTCTCTCTCTCAGGAATGGCCAGAGTCGTTAAAATGCTTGAACATTCCATGCCCTCCCCCATCTCTGCAAGAGAGAGAACAGAACTCTAACACACACACACGCAAACCAACACACACACATGATGGACCTTTACATTACACTCATAAAACGAGCCATTACCAATTGTATACGATATATTCCTGTATGTCTGTGTGTTTCCCAGTCCATGGTAGTCTAGATATGATCTCCTAGCGTATCAGTGAAACTCTTGAGAGTTTATAGTTGTGTATTGAGATGTATCTTCGTGTTCCAATTATGTGTAAATGTTTTGTTTGGTACCGTTTTAATTATCTCGTTCCAACTGATTTGGTCAGATACAGAAGATTACAGTAAATTGTATGTTTTCTATGTTTTTACCATCTTGTGGAATGATTCTGACAAATTCTGACTGGTCATAAAAGAGGCGGACACGGCCATAGTTTAACTTTGACAAGACAAAGAGAATTTGGCCGCCAAAAGTTTCTTTGAATGTCATTGGCCAGTTCGCACCTCAGAGGTGTGGACTCCAGTTCCTCTAAAGAGGACTGAGCCTCCCTCTGGACTCTCTTCCTCCCGTGTCCTCGTGTCATGATGTAACGTCTCGCCTCCGGGCGAGCTCTTCGCCTTTCTTTTATTTGTTTCTAGTTTAGTTTGTGTTTTTCAGTTGTAGATAAGTCTCTGTGTTTAATTCCAATCGACAATTGAAAAGAAAACCCCGTGACATATCTCTCCAGCAAGTCCATCTACAAGGGACCTTTAAACGAGCGCGCGCTCGCTTTGAAGGAGAAACACGCGCACGTGACCCCGTGACGTGCCGGACCGAGCGACGCACGCGCTTCTTCACCAGCCACGCAAAGATGTAACGTTAACTCCGCATGATTTCCCCGTCGAGATCTTTATTTCCTCTAGATAGTCCAGAAAAATAAAAAGCGTCCATTCAGTGAACGGGGCGCGGCGATTAGGACGGGGATTGGCGGACGAGCGCGCTGACCCCGGGCGCCCGACCCACGCGGGCAGGGTCGGGGTGACCCGACCCCCTCAGGGGCCCGACGGGAGTGACCCGAAGCCCGAGGCCACCCCAAGCAGTTCTGCCTTTGTCCTTGGTGGGGCGCCACAAGTGCCCCGTCCCACTAACCCATTACTTGTCCGATTGACCACTAGAGTGACCAATAACAATAACAATAATTATTTGTCCAATAACCCACTATATGGCGCAAACTTCCCGTTGACCCCCCCACCCACCCCCCACCCCACCCCCAATCCCACGGACCCACTTCTTGTCCAATAACCAACTATATTGGGCAAACTTCCCGCTGTCCAAGAAGCCACTATTTGTCCAATAACCCACTATTTTTGTAAAATACTAACCCCGCCCTTCATTCAAAAACCTGCAATCGGACACAATCCCACCCTCCATAGGCCCGAACTTTGAACGGCTATAACTCGGCGACCAAGCCACCTAGAGACACCAAACTCGGGTCAGAGTAAGGTCCCCAGGGGCCCTTTCCAACGCGCCCTAGCCCGTGCTTCTAGCTCCCCCACGGTCCGAGATACGGGGCCCAACAGGAAAGGGTGCACTTCAGAAGGAAGGGTCCCAGAGGCTCGGGACTCTGGGGTCTGAGAGGGCCCCTAGGGGCCCCTCACCACCCCAAAGGACGATCCGCTGGGACTCGTCATTTCCGAGATATTGACCGTTTTGTCCAAAAGACCCTTATGTATAAGTGGGTGTATCTTGGGGCTGGAGCCGAGTTGGAGCTCCAAACTCCGGGTGTGAGGAGGGCCCATTGGGTCCCTTCAGACCCCACCGTCCCCAGCTTCTAGGTCCTTCCGGTTCCGAGATACGGCAACTTCCTGTGCAGCTTTGACCGGGTTTATCTCGGGAACCAAGCCGAGTTTGGACTCCAATCTCCGGGTGCTGGGAGGGCCCTTGGGTCCCCTTCAGACCCCACCGTCCCCAGCTCCTAGGTCCTTCCGGTTCCGAGATACGGCCACTTCCTTTCCAGCTTTGACCGGGTTTATCTCGGGAACCAAGCCGAGTTTGGGCTCCAAACTCTTGGTGTGGGGAGGGCCCATGGGTCCCCTTCAGACCCCACCGTCCCCAGCTCCTAGGTCCTTCTGGTTCCGAGATACGGCCACTTCCTTTCCAGTTTTGACCGGGTGTATCTCGGGAACCAAGCCGACTTGGAGCTCCAAACTCTGGGTGTGTAAAGGTACCCATGGGCCCCCCAGGATCCCAGAGTATGGAGCCCAAAGTCGGCTTGGTTCCTGAGTTATGCCCGGTCAAAAAGTGCTAAGAACTAAGCCGGGTAGAGCAACTGTCCGCGAAGCCTATATTTGGTACAATGGAATAAATGCTACGTGGGATCATCCCAAGAATCCACTATTTGTCCAATAACCCACTATTTTTGTAAAATACTAACCCCGCCCTTCATTCAACAAGCTGCAATCGGACAGAATCCCACGTGCCATCGATTGAATGGGGATTCAGAGAGTTTCTCTGATAGACATTTGAATTAAAGTTGCTGTCATGATGAAAACCATTTTACTGCACTCAGGGGCCTCCCCTGAGTCCGTAGCACCAAGTCCCATCCCATAATTCCACTGACCGCGAAACCACTATTTTTACAATGGAACAAATGCTACGTGGGATCTGACAGTTTCTCTGATAGGCAATTTTTGAAAAGTTCCATTCTTGATAAAAACTATTTTACTGCACTCAGGGGCCTCCCCTGGGGGGGGTGGGGGGGCATTTGCCCAATACAGTGGGTTATTGGACAAATAATGGGTTAGTGGGATGGGGGGGGGGGGGGGGGGGGGGGGGTTGGGGGGGTTGGGGGGGGGGGGGTCATGGGGCAATATGCTCTCTATCGCCCACTAGAGGTGTCCGAAAACCAACAGTTCCGTGGCAAGTAAGTAAGAATACGTGAATAGGGGGGTTATTAATAAAGGCCCACTCTCTACCAAGTCTGTGGGCAATTGTCATCCAAATTCACCCTACGATCCCTCGCGCCCATAGCGCGCCAATTGGCAGCTTGTTAACATGGGCGTTTTTCCACGAACCAACGTTTTGGACTAACTTTGGTTAGTCAAAGTTTTGTTTTCCGTAGTCGACTCAGTTCACTTCCACGAAGTGAAACGAACTTAGCCGAACTATTTCCCTTTGGTAATGTTACCCCAAAGACTTTGAACCTCCGTTCAACCTTCCTCACACACAAAGGACTCAGCTCACGCGGCCAGACAGGGCCGTACGGGAATGCCTCGACACACAGAGAGACCAAAACTAGTGCAAGTATCTCTTTTGAAGCTTCTCAGAAGCATTAAGATTATGTGTTTCGTGTTGTTACAGAAAGGTGAAAGTCTAGGGAAAAATCGTACCCATGCTTTCTCTCTCTCTCTCTTACTCGCTCACGCGTGTAAGTTATCCATTGTCCAAACTGTACGCATTTCTCGTTCATTGATGTCTTATTGTATTGTTCATTGTTGTCTATGTGTTTGTAAATACATATATCCCGTGTAACCGTAGTAAATACATAAGTAGTCATGCCTCTATTAAATTAAATATATATTCATTTGATTGATGTACTCTCTCTTTGCTCAGTTTCAAGTCCCTTAAGTGCCAAAAGATCTTATGCTACAAGCTTACTAAAATTAAAAATACCTTAAAAAGTATGTGTTTATAGGGCGGGAAAACCAATTCTTCTGGCCAGAGAATTGCGTTTCCTGAAATCCTATAAAGTAAGATGATATTGTGGATCCCACAAATATTATCCTGACAATTGAGCTAATTCATTTTACCTGTTTTGTGAAACGTGGTCCGTGTAATTAATTGCAATCAACTTGTGGTTAATTTCAAGGATTCACATGCATGCAGGTAAAATGACAGATCCTCCCTTATCGGGAGATTTATTAACATGTAAGACTGGTCTAATCCAAACATGCATGAATAATTATTAATTACCAATTATTAATTATGATATGCAAATTCCCCACGGATTAGATCCGCCCTGAATCCTTACAATGTTCTCTAAACATTAGCACAAAAACATTACTTATAAATTGTTCATGGAGCGCTTTTTTAAAAATGTTTTAGTTGATGTTCGTCTAAAGTTTTTAAATGTTTCTACTTGTTTCAGAACATTCAGAAAAAAACGTTTATATGAATATAAGCAAAACCTTCTTAGAACATGTTTTTGTTCGCTGGGAAACCCCTTCACAACTGGATCTTATTGAACTGGGAAAGTACAGATCCATCTCAAATCTTCTATTTATGACTAAATTATTATAAAACATAAGTCATGTTTGCGCAGATATGCTCCTTTTCGCAGAAAAATTTCAGTTTTCAGGATTCAGGCCCCATCGTAACAGAGATTTCACTTGTTAAAATTAAAATAAAAAAAAACTTGCTTTTCAGTGATAGTTTCACAAGATCTGACATTTCTCCAGATAGAGTGTTCAAGGACAGAACGACACGTCAAGAGACGGGAGATTCCTAGTGTAATAACTCATCTGATCCTGATCATAATATTGAGCAGATGCAAGATCATTCTTTTTTTTTTTTACCATATTTTACTGACATACAAAACAACGAGGAGAAAAGTTCATAACTGATTAAAGATTGTAAAGTATCAGGGATTATTGAATGATTAAAGTTCAGTAAAAGACAGAACATATGCACAGGGTTTGACCTCTGAACTCGTACTCTGTCTGAAACCCTGCGTCTGTTCCTAATGCACAGTAAATCTCACGAATGCGTTCACTGACTTTACCTCGATATTCACACCCTTGACCTCGACCGCCGGGTCTAACGGAAGCCTGCAGGACAGACCGTCGGAGAAAAAGCTGGCAATCTTCCATCGCTCTCTGCGAAACACATCCTGCACAGACACAACACTTCAGCACTAAAGCGGTGTGTGTGTGTGTGTTAGAGCTGCTGTGTGTTCCAGCTCACACCTTTCTCTTGTGTTTGTCCGCGGTGTGTATTCTCTGGGCCAAGTGTGTGAGCAGATCCATCAGTCGACTCTCCCGCTGCAGCTCGAGTCTCAGCGCACGTCCACAGCAGTGCTTCAGTGCCGACAGAACCTTACTGATCCAGCTCTTATAGAGCCAGTCCTCCAGAGCGTCCACCAGCAGCCTGTACACACACACACACACACACACACACAAGCTTCAGTGCCGACAGAACCTTACTGATCCAGCTCTTATAGAGCCAGTCCTCCAGAGCGTCCACCAGCAGCCTGTACACACACACACACACAAGCTTCAGTGCCGACAGAACCTTACTGATCCAGCTCTTATAGAGCCAGTCCTCCAGAGTGTCCACCAGCAGCCTGTACACACACACACACACACACACACACAAGCTTCAGTGCCGACAGAACCTTACTGATCCAGCTCTTATAGAGCCAGTTCTCCAGAGCGTCCACCAGCAGCCTGTACACACACACACACACACACACACACACAAGCTTCAGTGCCGACAGAACCTTACTGATCCAGCTCTTATAGAGCCAGTCCTCCAGAGCGTCCACCAGCAGCCTGTACACACACACACACACACACAAGCTTCAGTGCCGACAGAACCTTACTGATCCAGCTCTTATAGAGCCAGTTCTCCAGAGCGTCCACCAGCAGCCTGTACACACACACACACACACACACACACACACAAGCTTCAGTGCCGACAGAACCTTACTGATCCAGCTCTTATAGAGCCAGTCCTCCAGAGCGTCCACCAGCAGCCTGTACACACACACACACACACATAAGCTTCAGTGCCGACAGAACCTTACTGATCCAGCTCTAATAGAGCCAGTCCTCCAGAGCGTCCACCAGCAGCCTGTACACACACACACACACACACAAGCTTCAGTGCCGACAGAACCTTACTGATCCAGCTCTTATAGAGCCAGTCCTCCAGAGCGTCCACCAGCAGCCTGTACACACACACACACACACACAAGCTTCAGTGCCGACAGAACCTTACTGATCCAGCTCTTATAGAGCCAGTCCTCCAGAGCGTCCACCAGCAGCCTGTACACACACACACACACACACACACACACAAGCTTCAGTGCCGACAGAACCTTACTGATCCAGCTCTTATAGAGCCAGTCCTCCAGAGCGTCCACCAGCAGCCTGTACACACACACACACACACACACATAAGCTTCAGTGCCGACAGAACCTTACTGATCCAGCTCTTATAGAGCCAGTCCTCCAGAGCGTCCACCAGCAGCCTGTACACACACACACACACAAGCTTCAGTGCCGACAGAACCTTACTGATCCAGCTCTTATAGAGCCAGTCCTCCAGAGCGTCCACCAGCAGCCTGTACACACACACACACACACACACACACTAAGCTTCAGTGCCGACAGAACCTTACTGATCCAGCTCTTATAGAGCCAGTCCTCCAGAGCGTCCACCAGCAGCCTGTACACACACACACACATAAGCTTCAGTGCCGACAGAACCTTACTGATCCAGCTCTTATAGAGCCAGTCCTCCAGAGCGTCCACCAGCAGCCTGTACACACACACACACACACACACACAAGCTTCAGTGCCGACAGAACCTTACTGATCCAGCTCTTATAGAGCCAGTCCTCCAGAGCGTCCACCAGCAGCCTGTACACACACACACACACACACACACACACAAGCTTCAGTGCCGACAGAACCTTACTGATCCAGCTCTTATAGAGCCAGTCCTCCAGAGCGTCCACCAGCAGCCTGTACACACACACACACACACACACACACACAAGCTTCAGTGCCGACAGAACCTTACTGATCCAGCTCTTATAGAGCCAGTCCTCCAGAGCGTCCACCAGCAGCCTGTACACACACACACACACACACTAAGCTTCAGTGCCGACAGAACCTTACTGATCCAGCTCTTATAGAGCCAGTCCTCCAGAGCGTCCACCAGCAGCCTGTATACACACACACACACACACACTAAGCTTCAGTGCCGACAGAACCTTACTGATCCAGCTCTTATAGAGCCAGTCCTCCAGAGCGTCCACCAGCAGCCTGTACACACACACACACACACACACACACAAGCTTCAGTGCCGACAGAACCTTACTGATCCAGCTCTTATAGAGCCAGTCCTCCAGAGCGTCCACCAGCAGCCTGTACACACACACACACGCACAAGCTTCAGTGCCGACAGAACCTTACTGATCCAGCTCTTATAGAGCCAGTCCTCCAGAGCGTCCACCAGCAGCCTGTACACACACACACACACACACACACACACACAAGCTTCAGTGCCGACAGAACCTTACTGATCCAGCTCTTATAGAGCCAGTCCTCCAGAGCGTCCACCAGCAGCCTGTACACACACACACACACACACACACACACACAAGCTTCAGTGCCGAAAAGAACCTTACTGATCCAGCTCTTATAGAGCCAGTCCTCCAGAGCGTCCACCAGCAGCCTGTACACACACACACACACACACAAACTTCAGTGCCGACAGAACCTTACTGATCCAGCTATTATAGAGCCAGTCCTCCAGAGCGTCCACCAGCAGCCTGTACACACACACACACACTAAGCTTCAGTGCCGACAGAACCTTACTGATCCAGCTCTTATAGAGCCAGTCCTCCAGAGCGTCCACCAGCAGCCTGTACACACACACACACACACACACACACACACACTAAGCTTCAGTGCCGACAGAACCTTACTGATCCAGCTCTTAGGGTGCTTTCACACCTGTAGTTCGGTTCATTTGGTCCGGACTAAGGGCGAAAAATGATACTTTGTATCATTTTCAGGCGTTTTGGTTCCTTTTCACACCACACTGATTGCTCTGGTCCGAATCAGATGATGAGTTGATGAAACGAACCAAAATGCAGTCACGTGACAACATCCACATCACTCGTTGGCCAGAGGTAACTGCACTTCGATTGGTCAGAATCAACGTGCGGGAAAATTCCAGAGCTCCCGGAAGTAAACAAAGAGGAGGAAAATCCGGCAGACAGCGTTTGACTATGGAGAGTCTACGACTGCGTGGGCTGATAGTATCCCTGGTCATAGTATATTACTTTAGGCAAACAATTACATTTCATAATGAATCGAGGATGCGGCTTGAACAAAATGTTTTAATGCACTGCACGCGGCGAAGTCGCACCTCCTCAGAACTCCACGTTTGTCCGCGAGCTGCATGCTAGTGCAAAATGTCAACAAACATTATTCCTCATCCCATAAAACACAGCGCGGCTGACTACGGCAGCTGGTTTAGTCCAAAAATACGCAGTTCTCTGACAGTTGGGTCTGTTCGAGTTCGGATCACGTTCTCACCACAAACGAACCGCTCCAGAGTTCGTTTGAAAGCGTACCGAGACCACCTCTTCGAGGAGGTCTCGGTACGCTTGTTTGGTCCGCTTTTGGTGCGCACCCGAGTGCGATTGCTGCTTTCACACCTACCCAAACGAACCGCACCAATTCGGAAAACGAACTCTAGTGCGATTCAACCGAACTAAACAAGGCAGGTGTGAAAGCACCCTTATAGAGCCAGTCCTCCAGAGCGTCCACCAGCAGCCTGTACACACACACACACACACACATAAGCTTCAGTGCCGACAGAACCTTACTGATCCAGCTCTTATAGACCCAGTCCTCCAGAGCGTCCACCAGCAGCCTGTACACACACACACACACACACACACACACTAAGCTTCAGTGCCGACAGAACCTTACTGATCCAGCTCTTATAGAGCCAGTCCTCCAGAGTGTCCACCAGCAGCCTGTACACACACACACACACACACACACACAAGCTTCAGTGCCGACAGAACCTTACTGATCCAGCTCTTATAGAGCCAGTCCTCCAGAGTGTCCACCAGCAGCCTGTACACACACACACACACACACACACACAAGCTTCAGTGCCGACAGAACCTTACTGATCCAGCTCTTATAGAGCCAGTCCTCCAGATTGTCCACCAGCAGCCTGTACACACACACACACACACACACACTAAGCTTCAGTGCCGACAGAACCTTACTGATCCAGCTCTTATAGAGCCAGTCCTCCAGAGCGTCCACCAGCAGCCTGTACACACACACACACACACACATAAGCTTCAGTGCCGACAGAACCTTACTGATCCAGCTCTTATAGACCCAGTCCTCCAGAGCGTCCACCAGCAGCCTGTACACACACACACACTAAGCTTCAGTGCCGACAGAACCTTACTGATCCAGCTCTTATAGAGCCAGTCCTCCAGAGCGTCCACCAGCAGCCTGTACACACACACACACACACACACTCAGCTTCAGTGCCGACAGAACCTTACTGATCCAGCTCTTATAGAGCCAGTCCTCCAGAGTGTCCACCAGCAGCCTGTACACACACACACACACACACACACACACACACAAGCTTCAGTGCCGACAGAACCTTACTGATCCAGCTCTTATAGAGCCAGTCCTCCAGAGCGTCCACCAGCAGCCTGTACACACACACACACACACACACACACACACATAGGCCTCAGTGCCGACAGAACCTTACTGATCCAGCTCTTATAGACCCAGTCCTCCAGAGCGTCCACCAGCAGCCTGTACACACACACACACACACACACACACACACTAAGCTTCAGTGCCGACAGAACCTTACTGATCCAGCTCTTATAGAGCCAGTCCTCCAGAGCGTCCACCAGCAGCCTGTACACACACACACACACACACACACACACACTAAGCTTCAGTGCTGACAGAACCTTACTGATCCAGCTCTTATAGAGCCAGTCCTCCAGAGCGTCCACCAGCAGCCTGTACACACACACACACACACACACACACAAGCTTCAGTGCCGACAGAACCTTACTGATCCAGCTCTTATAGAGCCAGTCCTCCAGAGCGTCCACCAGCAGCCTGTACACAAACACACACACACACACTAAGCTTCAGTGCCGACAGAACCTTACTGATCAAGCTCTTATAGACCCAGTCCTCCAGAGCGTCCACCAGCAGCCTGTACACACACACACACACACACACACACACACAAGCTTCAGTGCCGACAGAACCTTACTGATCCAGCTCTTATAGAGCCAGTCCTCCAGAGCGTCCACCAGCAGCCTGTACACACACACACACACACAC